AGTAATATATTCCAAGTGACTAAATAAAAATAGCTCTTTTAAAACAATATACATGCTCCCTGTGGACCAAACTCCACCCTAGCTTAAGCAGGTAGTGTTCACATTACAGTAAGTGGAAGTCTCCTGTCATCTCAGTGCTAAATGTGGTTGTCCTCAAGTCATATCTGCTGACTTGACAGACCAGAACAGGCTTTCACTCTGCAGAGCTAAGGCAGCGGCGAGAAAGTGAGCTGGCCCTGTCAGCAGAATAGACTCTTATGTTCTGCATACAGAGTCTTTATTATTGCTGGAGATCCCAGACTGAGTCTGCAGGGCTGTAGTTCAAACCTCCTCCCCCACTGCCTCACACATTCAACTGTTATTTGAATTGTGAAGCAAGTACACAGGATCACACACACAAGTGCCTTCCCCCAACTGTCATTGGAATTGTGACTTGCACACACAGGATCATCCAGGGGAAAACATTTTTGCACTATTTGACAAAATTACAGACAGATGCCCTAGTTAGCACTGATCCCATCACTTTCATGAGGAAGGGTCACAGGATTTCCTAGACCCACATGAACAGTATGTGTAAAGCAAGCTGACTTTTCCCCTTCTCCACTCTCAGGAGACACAGATGCCTGGAATGTGGTGGAGCTGATGTACTCACTCACTAAAGGAAGTGTATTATGCTGCTCAACCGCAATACTTCCAGCCTATTAAAAAGTGGTGATGGGCTGGGGAAGAGTGACTTGTCCAATCCTTGGCTCAGGAGGCTGATAGGGTCATACTTGGGCTGGTTGGAAAACAAGAATTCTGTTTTGTGAAAAATAAAACACCTGAGGTTTCAAAAATTGCATTAGTTTCTCATTAGAATGAAAATGAGACTTTTAGGGTATGTCTACACTTTGAGCCAAGGGTGTAATTCCCAGCTCAAGGAGATATACCTGTGCTAGCTCTAATGGAGCTAGTGCATTAAAAATAAAATGTAGCCAGCAGAGGGTGAGTGGCAGGAGGGACTAGCCACCCTGGGTACATGCCTCATGTCTCGGATGAGAGTGTACTCAGGGTGCCAAGCTCCTCCTGCTGCTCATGCGGTGGCTACGCTCTATTTTTAGCATGCTAGCTCATCAGAGCTAGCATGAGTATATCTTCTTGAGCTGGGAATTATATCCCCATGTTGAAGTGCAAACATGCCCTAAGAGAGTACCACCAGCCAGAATAACCAATAGCGTAGTGGTTAGAGCAATCATCAGAGATGTGGGAAACCCACATTCAAGTCCTTGCTCTGCCTGATGCCGAATAATTATTAGTAGGACAGAATAACTGCTTCTGCAGAGGTGTTGGGGCTTGGGGAGAGGACTATAGCCCCCTGGATTTTTAATATGATATAGTAATGGTAGACTAGAGCTCAGCGCTATGCTCTGCCACAGTCTGTCTGAATGTCCTTTAAATAGGAAGGTAAGTCTGTTTGTATTCCCTTCAGAGGGAGCAGTTGTGTTGGACTCTCATGATGAGTCTGACAGCTCATGTGGGAAGAAAGGGGAACAGAGGGCTGAGAGAATCTTCCTTCCACTCCTCTGCTTCTCCCCACCATCTCACCTATCGGGACCAGGGGACAGGCCAGCATGGGTTCTTGCGGCAGTGACAGAAGTAAGGAGTTGATATCATTCTCACATTCAGTGCCCTGCCTGTATCAAGTGAGGATCCATAGCCCAGCAGCTCCTGCACATGCCTCCTGTGGAGGATGCCCCAAAGCAGAGAGAACACAGGCTATGGGACAGGGAACCCATTCAGTACATAGCCACAGAAACAACATGACCAAATGAGCTACCAAAGGAGCAGAGAACTGCTCTCCTCCCTGGCAAAATGAGAGCCCATCAGGAGTCAGCTTCCTGGAGGGAGATAGGAGTACAGACACCAAGAGGAGGACAAATGAAGCCTACTGAGGGATACAGAGAAGGGAGAGGTAAATGTCCCCAAAATAAAGTGGTCAGCTGCATCCCTACTGTTCAGAGAAAATAAGAACCACCTCTCACCTTAGTCCGGAAAACAAACTGAAGCTCAGAGACTTGGATTGCTTCTGTCTACCTTATTTGTAACTTTCATGTGCCTCTGTGCTACCAGTCTCCAGCATAAGGGTGGCAGGGAAAATGCCATAACAATAACCTACTTAACCAGCCACAGGAGGTAGTTCCACAAGAGGCCTAATCTCACAGGGTTTCCAGCTGAGTTTCATAAATCTCAGAGGCTCTTACAGTTCCAAAATGCATTTGAACTTGAGGCTGTGTATTCAGACCAAACTCCAAACCTTCTAAGGTAATTACAAACTAACAGGGCTGCATGTTTCCCCTACTCCCAATTCTGTGAGTCCTGGGGAGAAAATATAGTGAATGTTCTCTTGAGGGAAGTTTGACTTTCAGTATTGCTAACCCCAAGTGTTTTACATTTAGTTCTTTTTATTTGCAGGCAGCCGGTAGAACCTTTTAGGATTCACATTTTCAAGCTTTGGTCTGGAGCCATGAAGGCTAGAAGCTTACTTTTTAAAAATGAAAGATGAAATTTTTAGGTTAAACCTGACTCAAGGAGCAAGGGCATTAAGAAAAACAAATATAATGAAACTCACAATAAAACCATAGGAATTGGCAACCTTGGACTTTACTGTATTCTCCCTTACTTGGGGTGCTAACCCATCTTTGTTTGTAAAGCAGCTGACCTAACTAAATGCTCAATATGTTCCTGATGGCAGACTGGATAAGATTCTAGCTACAAAACACAAAGAAAAACAGCAGCAGTAAAACCACACAAGGCAAGTGAGCCCTAGTTATTTTTCTTCTAAAGGTTCTAGAGATCTGATGGAAATAGCAATCACCTGGAGGTAGCCCATATCATTCTGTAGTGCTGGTAATCATCTGTCCCATTAGTGTGAGGAGCTTGCCAATTATACCAGCTACAGAGCATATAGCTGCTCTGCACTCTACAACTGAAGCAAACAGCCTGGCAAAGGGGGAAATGACAGAACTTGTTCCTGTTGCACCGATGCATTAAGCATGGATCCTGCAGACAAAAGGCTGCATCTACGACTATGTTCTGGCCCAGCTGTCTGCAAAATGCTCTAATGAGAGAAAAGCAGACTGAGAAGGGACTGGGAATTCCTGAGTCTTTGATCCTACCTCTGCTACTGGCTTCATATGTGGCCTAAACCTCTGTATAATATTAACCTTCCTTACAGAGGTTTGAGAGACTAAATTCATGATTAGTAAAATGTTTTTGAAGATGAAAGGTGCTGTTAAATATAATAACTAAAAGGATATGTGATGGTCTACAAATGGTTGAAGCAAGTAAATATGTAGGCAGGACAATAATTTATAATGGTAAAAAGGAGATAGCTAGGAATAATGGAAAACACCTAGAGAAGGAAAATCTTAGATTAAATCTGAGGAAGAACTTCTTGATAATGAGATCTAGTAGGCCCTGTGTGTCTCCCAAAGGAAGTAGAAGCCACATTTCTTGTGACCTTTAAAACACAACTGCATGAAACACTAGAAAATACATTGTCCCGTATTGGTGGAGAATGGATTAGATGCGACCTAATGTCTGCTCCCGCTCTAAGTATTAGTCTGACTATAAGCATGTGATTTCCTGCATAGTAAGTACTTTTTATGTTAGATTTTCTACTGGCCCCTGAATTTCATGAGTGTCTGGCTTTATATATTTTCTGAGTTTCCTAGCAGGCTGAGAATCATCCCTGGATAAGCTTTAGTCTGTTTCATTGGCTTATGAGACAAACAACAAAGCCCCTTCTCAGACAGAAGACATCACAGAATGCTGTACAACGAAAGACGATAAAACTAACTGTAACTTAAGGACAGTTAATGACCCAGGCTTGGCTCTATCAAATCCACAACCCCTTAGGAATCCATTTAATTTGTGACCTCTGCAACATGGCTCATCTTGAGTTGGTGTGATCACTGCTTGATTCTGTTCCACACATAAAACCTGGGTGAGCACAGGTCTGACTGCCTTTTGAGGACTTTCTACTGAAGGTGCCTTATCTTTAACCCGTGCCCTTAGGGCATCACAGCACACAGAGGGGCTGGTTTAGCAACTGGGAGTTATCAGAACTCTTTGCTCTTCTATGGCAACTTTCATCTAAGGCTCTCAAAGTGCTTTAAAAACTCGAGTGAATTCAGCCTCATACCATCCCTGGGAGCTAGGGAAGCACTATCACCCCCATTTTGCATTAATGGAAACTGAGGCACAGTGGGGAGAAGCACTGTGCCCAAGGTCATGCTGCAAGCTGGGGGCAGTGTTTGGAATAAAACTCTGGAATCCTGACCCATATCTCTGTACTCCCACCATCAGACCATGCGCCCTGCATTCCCTAGGGACAAGATCGGGGGTACAATGAAAAGTACACAAAATTCTTAATTATATGGTATGAATTTTTTTTACATAAAGAAGGTTTCCTATGTCCGCTGCTTCCTGAGTCAAAAATCTCTGATTTTGACAATGAAAATGAGATTGCAAGATCCACAAGGGACAGAAGGAACACTGGGGTTTAAAATAAAGGACATTCCTGCAAAAGGGCAGCTAAGATGTATGGCTACAACTATCCACATGAAGCCTGAAGTTTTAGCTCTATCAGTTAGTTCCTCCTTCTGTGCCCAATTTTATAACCGAGTGTTTGAATCATGCCTCAAAATTATGCAGGCCCTTGAAGGTTACTGCCTTCTCCAACTCAGGGGAAGAGGCTCAAAAATGAATGATACTCCACACTCCTACCCCATATTCACATGATCTCTTCTCTCCTCCTCCCCTCCCAACTTTAGAATAACCCTGTGCAAGAAGTTCCAAGGGGCATTGAGGGGGTCATTTACCGTTTGATACAGCAAATGGAAATGATTACCTGCTCCGAAGTGGGAAAGTGCCATGTAAAGGTGGAGCTAATTCAATCTGAACTGCTGGGGCAAGTAAGTCAGCAAAGCAACACGCGGCTACTGAAATAAATTTTTTACCTCCATATCCTGCAAATGAGGGGTGTCCTCAGGACAGTCGCTCTTCCCCACCCTTTCCCCCCTTAGCTGTGGAAAGTTTCTGCCCAGCCAGAGTGAGAACTCACTGCTGAGGCACGTCTAATATAATATCCAAGCCCCAGCTCAGCTTGAGAACTGACAGAGCCCAGTGAGCAGCCCTGCACTGGAGAACAAGGAAGGAGGGAGGGTGGTTGAGAGGAAGGGAGGGTGGGGACTGGAGGGGGAGGCAAAGCAATCAGGGTTTAAATTTAGACACAAATCTAAACAGATACTGTCCTTCCCAGAGTGCAGGGCTCAAGAGAATGCTAGCAGCAAACTCTGCTGCTCTGCCCAAACATGGGGGCACTAAGTGTGTATTTCCTCTGTATCTCTCCCTTTCTTTCTCTTCTGTCCATACTCCCACCATAATTTTCTTCTTTTTTCTTTTCTTTCTTCTTCTTCTCCCTATATCTGCATTCTTTCCTTCCTCTGTTTGTCGTTGTTCTCCCTCTCTGGATCTGCATTCTTTTTCTTTTGCTGCAGCCGTTCCTTCTGTCTTTTTCTTCTCCTCTTTCAACTTCTGACCTTTTTAATCTGTAGCTGGGTGAGAAGATTTTAACTGAGACTTGGAATGGGCATGGGGAACATAAGAGGAGGAGATACATATCATTATTATATTTGTAGGGATGAAGGCTTCATTGTGGTAGGTGTTGTACAGACACAGAATAAAAAGATGGTCCCAACTGGAGATGTAAATTGCTAAGGCTGAAACAGGATTGACTTTTTCCACTTCCAGTCTTTTTCTTTCACCACTTAGTCAGAGGTGCTAATTCAGGATGCTATTTTTCTCAGTAAAGACTTGAGCATTGGCAAATAAAGCTACAGTTGTGGAGGTAAAGCTGTTTTTTCTTTCTTTTTTTTAATTTTTGGTAGATGCACGGGATTTAAGGTATGTCTACACTGGCAGAGTTACAGCGCTGGCAGTTACAGCACCACTCAGAGAGCGCTGAAGGGAAACTGCTGTTGTGTGTTCACACTGTCAGCTGCCTGCACAATAGTGTATTCACACTTTCAGCGGTATTCAGAGCAGTGCACTCTGGGCAGCTATCCCACAGAGCAGCTCTTCCTCTTCCACCACTAAGAGTTGTGGGAAGGTGGAGGGAGATCATGAGGCATCCTTGAGTCCTGTCCCAATGCCCCATGATGCATTGCTTCACATCCCAGCAATCCCTGTGCTTCCGTCCACATTTGGCACCATCTTTCAATGGTTTGTGTACTGCATGCTCTGCCTCTTCGGTCTGCAGGAATCGGATCCTGAACTGTTGACCAGTATGCTGCTTGCTCTGACTAACATGTCATGAGTGGCACTGGAGTTATCCCTTAAACTGACAAAGGCAAGAGGAGTGCAACATTAATCTCACCATGCGTAGTAGCTACAAAATGAGAATGCTTGTGGCATTCATGGAGGTGCTGACCACAGTGGGCTTGGGAAACATACCACTGAGTGATGCGGTGGGATCACATCGTCATGCACGTCTGGGATGATGAGCAGTGGCTGCAGAACTTTCAGATGAGGAAAGCCACATTCATGGGACTGTGTGATGAGCTTGCCCCAGCCCTGTGGCACAAGGACACAAGAATGAGAGCTGCCCTGTCACTGGAGAGGCACGTGGCGATTGCATTGTGGAAGCTGGCTGCTTCAGACTGCTATCCATCGGTTGCTAACCAGTTCAGAGTGGGAAAGTCGACCGTTGGACTCCTGTTGATGGAAGTGTGCAGGGCCATTAATTGCATCCTGCTCCAAAAGACTGAGACTCTGGGCAACGTGCGTGACATTGTGGATGGCTTGGCACAAATGGGCTTCTTCCTGACTGCCACCGAAATCACGTATAGTCAAAATTATATTGAGTGTAATGGCAGAAACCCACCTACATCATTATTTTTTTTCTCTTTTTTATTTTTTTTTTTTTCACCCAAAGCTGATTCGAGTTCGCCTCTATTCCAGTTCTGGCACCAGACCACCTAGCCACCAAGTACATTAATTGGAAGGAGTATTTCTCAATGGTTCTCTAGGTGCACTTGTGGATCTCCATGGGCATTTCACAGATATTAACACAGGCTGGTCCAGAAAGGTGCATGACGCATGCATCTTTTGGAACACTGGCCTGTTCAGGAAGCTGCAAGCAGGGGCTTTCTTCCCGGACCAGAAGATCACCATAGGGGAAGTCGAAATGCCCATTGTGATCCTGGGAGACCCCACCTACCCCTTAATGCCGTGGCTTATGAAGGCATACACGGGGCACCTTGACAGCAGCAGGGAGTGGTTCATCAAGTGCAGAACGGCTTCAGTGTGCTTTTGGCCATTTAAAGGCCCACCGGTGCTGCCTCTATGGGAAGCTGGACCTGGCCGATGACAATATTCCAATGCTTATAGCCGCGTGCTGTACGCTCCAAAATATTTGTGAAGGGACGGCTGAAAGCTTCACTCAGGGCTGGACCGCTGAGGCTCAGTGCCTGGAGGGTGAATATGAACAGCCAGAGACCAGGCTATTAGAGGGGTGCAGCACCAGGCCATAAGGATCAGGGAGGCCTTGAGGCAGCAATTTGAAGCTGAAAGCCACTAATATTTGTTGCTATGCTCAGGAGTGCAGTGCTTGTAGTGCTAGGAGGTGATTGTGATTGGTGCAGACGATGCACTATGAAGGTTTAAGATAATTTAAGATAATTCTGTTGCTTTGCAGGGCTCTGTTTGCTTTCAATTAATAGAATGAAGATTGTTTTCAAATCAACACAATTCTTTTATTAAAAAACAAATGGAGGAGAGAGACCAAAAAAAAAAAAATCAGCACTGAGGATATCAATATGAGGGAAGGGAAGGTCCCAGGAGGAGGTGGGGTCCCGAGACCGTTAAAGATTGTGTATGTTTAGGGATCATATCCAACCTTCTCCTTTGGAGTACTTTAGCAGGGCCAAATGCAGGCGGATGGGTGTTGAGTGCAGTGGTTAGTGAAGTCCACAGTGCTGGACTGTGACAGGGGAGGGGTGGAATGCAGTGGGTACAGACTGGAGCCAGGAGGCTGATAAGAGTCTGTTGGCAGTGTCTGGCGCCTGGGAAAGGGTTTTGTGACAGCGGCTGCAGGGGAGGGCGGGCGCGGAGCTGCTCGGTTCGCAGTGCTAGTATCTCCTGGAGCGTGTCAGCTTGGCGCTCCGTAACGTGTAAGAGCCGCTCCATGGCTCCATTCTGGCGCGCTGCGTTCACCTTTCGGTCCCTCTTCTTGCTGTCCCGTTCAGCTGGCTATAGCAAAGAGGGAGGCTGGGCTCTCAAGGTCATCTCCGTCAAGCCAAAATGCAACATTTTACAGAAGCAGTGTTGTTTGCAACACACAAACCACTGATTCAGTGATTTAAAACACAGCCACTATTCATATACCTCTCACTGACTGGCTGACCCCAGGCAAGCACACATGAGCTACAAGCCCCCTAAAATGGTGAGTAGCTGCAGGGGCAGGGTAAATCAGTGTTCCTGGACCCTACTGTACACTGGGCACATGGCTCTTGGGGAGATCCAACACTGTAGGGGATGCCTGATGATCATTCCTGTCCCCACATTTTCCACAGGCTGTGTTCATTATGGAAGATATCTTGCTGCTGAGGGTGAGCAGGGAATCAAGGGAGGGTCTTCTTCAAGACTGCAGCTTCTGCCTTGGCCCTTATGTGGTTCATCTGTGTGCAGCAATGGTCCCCGCCCCAGTGATGGCACAGTGGAGCAGGAAAGTTACCATTAGTGGGGCAAGAAACAAAGCAGCTCTGCCAAAGAACCTGCAGCAGTGGATTGCCCAGTATCTCCACGAGAGTTTCCTGGAGATCTCCGTGAAGTGAGGGAGTCAATCAACAGCCTGTTCCACCACTCAGACTAGGCATGTGGTGGTACGCGAATCAAACAAACACAAGCCTGCTTTCTGCAACCCTCCTGCCCCCAACAACTCGCTTCAGTGGTTCCCAAAATCAAAGCCACTTACCAGGGGCCTCCTCTCCTGTTTGCACTTTGCCAAGCTCCGACAGCTGTGACTGGCTAGCCTCCTCCAGGGTAGAGAAGAGCTCCTGGCTGCATGCAGCTCTGACCTCCAAGTCATCCTCTGCCTCTGGGTCACCCTCCCCTCCACATCCTCATCCAAGATTTCCTCCTCCTGGCTCGCTCCACTCTGGACTGGCACGCGAGCCACCGAAGTATCCACAGTGGCCTTCACAGTGGAGGTGGGGTCATCATCAAGTATCACGTCCAGCTCTTTGTAGTACTGGCAGCTCATGGGCACAGCACCGGAGTGGTGGTTTGTCTCCCGCGTGGTTTGTCTCCTGTGGTAGGCGTTCCACAGCTTTCACTTTGACCCTGCACTGCAGTGTGTCCTGATCATGGCCCCTTTCTGTCATGCATCGTGAAATCTGTCCATAGGTATCCTAATTCCTACGGCTGGAGCGCAGCTGGGACTGGACAGCCTCCTCTCCCCAAATGCTGATGAGGTCCATGGGGTGTGGGTGTGGAGCAGGCATGGCCACCTGGAAAAATGTGCTGAGACCACTGCATGCATTACCGAGCAAACAGGAAGGGGACTTTCAAAATTTCAAAGGAATTTACACGGTGGGGATGATGGTTGGTCACCTGAGGGCAGGGCAGTAGAGTTCAAACCGATGACCAGAGAGGCGAGAACAGGCATTGTGGGACACCTCCCGGAGGCCAATCACAGCGCTGTAGTTGACCAGGGTGTCTACACTGGCACTGCGGCGCACTACCCCCAGCGCAGACAGCTGTACGCCTCTCGTCGGGGTGTTTTTCTTACAGCGCTGTAACGGTGCAGTTTCTGTGCACTAAGTGGCTTGGCAGCGTGTGCACCTCGGGAGTTACAATGCAGAAAGCTGCTTTACTATGCAGAAACTTGCCAGTGTAGACAGAGCCTAAGTTAGGAAGAATTAAACCACAAGAGCATTTTGCTAAGGTCTCACTTTCCATACAGATTACAGAAATGTCAACTAAACAAATTCTTATCATGCCTGTTTTAGCAGCCCTCATGCACATGCGCCAACCACAGAATATTGATCCCCATTTACAGAGATCAGTGCAGGGGATCAGATTCCCACCTACGGAGAGGAGTGCAGAGGAATTTGGAAAGACTTTTTTTGGGGGGGGGGGGGGGGGGAGGCCAATTGCAGGGTCTCCATCCTCCAGAGCTGGGAAGTGACACAACCCGCTGGACAGTCCTGTTTCATAACTCTGCCTCAAGGACAGGTGAAAGAAGATTTAAAAGTATTTTCTGAAAGCCAGGTTCAAGATTTAAACCTGACCATCCTCATGGTTGTGGTGATGTTAGCCACCTAGATTCCATCAAAGCATAACTATATGGCCGGATAGCATACTTATGTCTTGCCCTATTAAAGTGACTGCTTTGCATACAAACCCTCTTATTGTTTAGCAGATCCTGGAATAAAATAGATTTAAGTCATGATATTTTTACCTCTTAATTACAGTATTGATGAGCGCTAGGCTACTCTGTGACTCAGAGTATGTCTACACTGCAATGTAAGCCCAGGATTTGAACTTAAGATCAAACCTAATACTACTTCCATCCAGACAGAATCTGACCCAGGGTCCCAGGACCCCACAGAGGTGGAGGGTCCAAGCCTGAGTAAAGCCAGGACCAGGGTTCGAACCCTATTGCTTTGCAGTGTAGATGCAGCCCCACTGGACTCGTGTTCTGGGAGACCACCAAAAGTATGTCACAATCCTACAGGCCAACTTTCTTTGTCTTGCTAAGACAGTCAGATTTTCCCACACTGCACCATGAACAAAGGGCTAGAGCAGGAGGGTGTTAGGAAATCTGCGATATGATTGGTTGGACTCAGGTCTGCGTACAGCAGTGTGGACGCTGGAACCTCAAGTTCAGGCCCAGGTTAGAAAATTCTTAACCTGGGGTTGACAATCAATGTAGATGCTCAAGCCCTGTGTTCTGTAACTCAAGGTCTGCTGAATCGAGTTCCACTAACCCTAGGTTTACATTGCAATGTAGACATATCCTCAGCTCCCATCCAGCAAAAAGCTCTCAGAATGGGTGCTCGAATTGCCATGGGCTGGTCCCAAATCTTGCAACTCACTGGATAGTTA